TCTCTTCCAACCCAAACCATTCCATGATTTACATCACTGAAAATATACCGACGCTGGTAGCCTTGTCCCACGGCCTTGTAAAACAGGAAGAAAACAGTAGTGCTGGCATATAACTTCTGCAAAAACAAAGTTTTAGGTTGGTGTAAACTGCTGTAGCTCTGTTGGCTTTACAAAGGCTAGTCTGATTTATATCAGCTGAAGAGTAGCCATTATGAATGGTTTCTCCAACCTAGTCCATTCTTTTAACCTCTTCTGGCTTTACTCAGAAGGTAGGAAGGCCTTCAAGCCTTAGCTTATCAACTGTACTTGGATTTCTTCACATACAGTAGAGAAAGAATACTTTTTATAAATGTATCTTTGAAAAACCAACCAACCAAACAAAACCACCAAAATCCACCACCTTCCATGGAAATGTATTGTGAGAAATCAAGTGCTTTGGGTCATGTTTATAACAGTACAAACTGACCTTGCTTGAGTTTCTGTCATATTGATTTATTTCTCTGAGAAATAGTCCTTTAGTATAGTAGCTAATCTTACATGGGTTTATCAGGAAAGATCTGGTTTCATAGATGGAAATTTTTCAATCTACTTGTTGCTGAATACTGCCTGAAAGCATTGGTTAATTCTACTCAACTTGGCTATTAAATTACCAGTGATAGACTTGCATTAAAATGTGCTTTAAGGCATAAGAAAATACTCAGTTCTTGATTTCGGAGACGTCTGATGAGTTTGGTCCTTCCCTTTAATAAATGCACCATTTTGCACATTTGTAAAGAAGAAAATGCTAAACTCTCTTTTCAGGTCTGCCCTGGAAGAAGTTGTTTAATACCAGATCCATGTAATTTGTTTATTTTTTGTGCTCATTTCTCAAATTACCAAATATGTTCCTGAAAATTCCATCAAAGTGAGATGTCATGCAAGGATAAGTTCAAAGTACTGGACAGTATTTTAACCACCCATATTCCTGTACTTGTCATGGATCACTTGCAGGCTAAGTGTCAGAGTGGTCTTTAAAAAGAGTCACTGCTAATAGTATCATTTCTTTTGGTGGCAAAACCATAATGTGGAGGGAACTTTTTCCAGAACCAGGTTCTCTTTAAGGACTGAATCTGCAAAGTGTTGAGCATCCTTAGTTGGAGTAGGAGGTGAGACTGACTGCTCAACAGTTCCCAGGTGGTGCTAGCATTTTTCAGGATTGGGACTAAATGCATTGATAGTTTCCTTTCAGAGTTCCAAAAATATCTAGATGGATACTCTGCCTGACTTTCTGTTATGGTAAAGTACTGCTCATAAAGGTTATAGTTGTAACTAGCTCTTGTGACTGTCATTGAAGGTCTTCTATTTTGAGGGGCATTTGAAATTACTGTAAAAAATATTCTGAATTAAAGTTCAGCATATGACTTCTCTACCAGAAGCTGCTAAATGTTTTATTAGAGTTTGAGAAGATCTATGTGTCTATTTCCCCCTTTTGTTTAGAGAGGATAAAATTAATGATTTTGTTTTGCTTTGTCTGCTCTGTTTTTTATTACCTTATGTATATTTCTCTGCTTATGCCAGATCTATGCTTGATACATCTGAGGCCGGATTCACTCCTGTTACAGGCAACTGTAATTTTCATTATATGTGATTCTAATCTTACATCTTGATTAGTCTAAAGTGTCTTCTGCAGTGCTGTGAGATCCAAATCTGGCCATTGAATTTAATAGAAGACTATTGTAAAGTGGACATTTATCCTTGCAAAAGGTGCAGTTCACGTAATAGCACTCTTGTAGAGCCATTGAATACAAAGTCACTGCAGTCATGGGTTTTATCACTTTGCCACCCTGACACCTATTTTGTGACTTACTTTTATCTGGTACTTGGTTAAATTATACTCCCTTGTGGTCAGTATTAAAGTAGATTGCTCTGTTTTAACTTTTTTCTTTTTTTTTTTTTTTTTAATTGTGAGAGGCTTTATGTGGTACACTTGCAGCTTTTTTTGGTAATGTGTATAATCTTGCATGTTTTCTCAAGGTTGGGGAAAGTTTGCTCGCTTGACCCGTGCCCTCACAAGCAGCCGAGGTGTGCTGCAGCAGCTTGCTCCAAGTGTGCAGAAAGGAGAGAACGTTCACAAGCATTCGCGACTTGCTGAGGTAATGTTTTCTTTCCCTGAGAGACCGTAAAGAAATGTTTTTAGCGTTTGTGGGTATGTTGTCTCTGCGTGAGTCAAGTACTGTCTGTCCCCCTTGCCCTCGGAATCTGAAGCCTGGTAGCAGGCATGGGATCTCAGAATATGGCACATGGACTGTGAAATGTGTCCTGTGACAGTGGAATGGAAACAGGTGTCCAAAAGACTTCATGTAACCTAACTGTAGTATGGTGTTCCGTATCTCAGCAAAGTCTTACAATAGCGTTATTATTAAAGTAATACTTTCTTGCTTAGTTTCCGTTCTTCTGAATATCTCAATGTTAGCAGGATCTTGGACTATTCACTTGTGTAAAATTGAGGTGAGAAAAAGGCTAGTACAGAAGGAAATTCTGAAGAATCTTTGACAGGGTTGTTCTCTGCATTCCTTTATGTCTAGTTCTTTTTCTGTGGGATGCCAATCCTGCTTTACAAGCTGGTTAAAATGTATGTTTGAGTTACTGGTTTTATGGACAGAACAGCTGTAAGATGCCACCAGCATCATTGCAGACAGGTTAGGAAATTGAAACCTTGTGATATAAGTAGACTCAAAGTTTTGAGAAAAGCTCCAGGCTCCGGAGGCTCCTTGAAATACTTAGGGTTTTAGGGCTTTCGCCACGAGGGGGAGAGACTATCCCAAGTTTCCTGTAGCTGTCTCCTGGGCCAGCAGCAGGGTCTCCCTGGTGTAAAAACAGCTTAGGGAAGGTCTTGATATGGTGATAATGACAACATGGCCAATATAATATGGCACTCCTGCTTCACCTATTGCTGTGAATGCCATGGCAGCGGCTGTGACTCTTGTCAATAATTCTTAATCTTCCTGTGTAGCTGGAGGTGTAAGCCATTGATGGGTTCCATGGGGTCTCCATATAGTTAGTACTCATCTTAATTTTGCCCTGTATAGGTCTTAGTTTACGTGCAAAATAAAAAACTCTTGCCCAGGCCTGTGCTATTACCACATGTGACAATGAAATTCCCACGGACAGGAGCTTACCTATTCAGTATTTAATACAGATGCACTCAAGAATGGAAAACTGACTTCTGTTGGAAGTACAGAAATAACGTATATCATACTAGCACAAGGGAGCGGCAGACATTCACATGGACACTATACTGCAGCAATACCATGTGCTTATTGCATGTCCACCCTGAGGTTGCTTTAGCATCCTGGAATTTGGAATAATCTTATTCAAGGCTTAGCATCAAATAATCCTTCCTTCTCTTTAGATGTCTACCCTTGAATTTTAGTTCATGCTGAAATGTAGGCAGTAGAATGTAAGGCAAAGGGTCTGACGTTATTCGCTTTTGCTCTGTGAACCTCAGCGGACCTAAGGGACTACACATTACTGAAACTTCTTGCAAGCCAATGTGCTCAACAAGTCTTTGCAAGTATTCTAACTGGCACAGCCAGTTGATTCATTACAAATAATAAAGGGCAAGTGTATAGTTTACATGTCTGAAATTAGTTTCTTTAATTGCCAACTGAATATTGCAGTCATTATTTTAAAAAGAACATTAGCCCCAACTGTGATGTTAGCTACCTTGTATATCTGCCGTAATTCCACATAAGTCGATAGAACTCCACTAGAGAAAAGCAGAGTGCAGATAATCATACAGATAAGCCCACTTTTCTTCCTTTGAAGACATGGGGGGTGCCAGGCTTCTTATTCTGGAAAGATCTCTCAATAATATTGAACATGGGATCTCTAACTGTTCCCTGTTGTATTTTCAAATATTTTTTTTGTTCATCTCTGCAGTAGCCTATTTGAAACCTTACGTTAAAATTAAAATTAATCCTTTTTCTTTTCCTACTCACTCACGTCAATCTTGTTTGCTCGAGAAGGCTCTTCATTTATTGGAATAATATTTGTGTTGCTCTTAGTTCTTTATTACTTATATTTTTGAATATCTGAGGAGCCATTTTTGTCCTAGAACCTGAGTGGGGCAAGTCGTTGTACAGATATGAAACAAGAACCTGCCACAAAAGCTTACAATTTCTTTTGTCATTTATGAAATATTAGTTTAAGAAAGATGTTAGTGACAAACTACTTTTATCTACAGGCCATGGATAATACAAGCAGTGTCTGTTCAGCCTCAGTCTCTGACTTTTGCCAGTATGTGTAATTTTTTTTTTTTTTTTTTTTTTTCTGACTTCTCTAATAGCAGTCATATGAAAACTGCTTAAATTACTTTAATTATGCAATTAATGCAAGAGTGTTAGGTAACTCTGAGAGTACATTGTGCAATAAGAGTGTAAAGTAATTGATACATTTCTGTGGCTTCATCACCAAGGAGCTGATTGTAGGAACCATTCTTCCTGATCACTGCATAGTACATGTGTCCTTTGCGCCTATGGTGTTAGCTGATGTATTCTGTATATTTACCAGGCAGTTCTGGGTAAACAAGTTTGTGTCATAATTTAAAAAATGCGATAGTTATGAGAAATAAAAGCAGAAAAATTATAATGGTGCTTAGCAGCACTGCTTAATAACATAACTTCTGGCTTTTTTCTTTTTGTGAAGCTTGTTTACCAGGGACTTATAACTGCCATTAAAATCTACTTCAAGTTGAGGCTTAGCACCTAGCCCTTGGCTTGGGAGCAATTTATGTGGGTGCCTGTAAAAACAAAAGCAAGTGAGAGTGAGAGAAAGCAAATATGTGCAGTTGAAAATGCAAAAGGGAGATGTTAAGCTGAAAATGAACAATTGTTGGTGTGTTTGTTGGTTTTTTTTTTTCCCAGTCACGCAGTCTCAAAAGTAAATAAATCATTGTAACCACTTGTTGATGCACTTTTACGAGTCCTAACTGGTGATATATTTACCATTTTTTAACAAATCTAGGATAATTTTGGTTTATGTTAAAAAATTAACACAGCCTTGTGAAACCCATGATGAAATTTGTCATTTCTGCTCTTCAAATAATATTTTCCAGCTTTAGAGAGCTATTGAAACATCATGCATCATTACCACAAATAATAAATGCAGATAGTACAAGTGTAGTGGCTGATGAATCATAGGTAATTGGAATAATACTTTCATTAGTAACTTTCTGAAACGAGTATTTCTTTTACTATAGTATAACTGCATAATAGGGAAAAATCTTCCAAAACCAGGGCTATTTCAGTTATTTAGAAAGTGATAGTAATGAAATATTTGTTCTGTGCACATGTGGAAGCTCAGCGTATCGGTTTATGTAGTTGTGTACATTTTCTTCATGATTACTTTTATATTCATCTCTTGTTTTTTTTTTTTTCCCCTCTCCAGGAGAAGTACCTTTACAAGCAGTTTGAATCTAGTTAGTTCATGTGGGTAGGTAACACACCTGACTGGTTCAGCAAATATTATCTCTCAGGTTGGCACTACTCTCCCTAGAGGCTGGAGTGCAGCAGGAGCGCCTTCGAATAGGGCAGAAGGTGCTTCTCTTTGCATCTACCTGGCTTTGCTATATGGTGCAGAGAGAGTGGGGTTTCTAGCTCTTCATCTCCAGATGGCCCCGGGGTGAGATATGTGTCTGGATGGATGGTGAAGAAATAAATTGTGTGTGGCCGTTGGTGCGAGAAGTGGAGAAAGGAGCTCTCCTAACTTCCAGTGCAGCAACCTGACAAAATCTAGATCTTTAGCACTAAGCTCTGTGGACCTCCTTTCTGTACAGCACTGAGCTCTCTTGTTGTACTTAATGCTAAAAGCACATGCTTGTTCTCTGAGATAATTAAGATAAAAAATGCCTTCGTTATAGGCATTTTTCTCTTCCTTCAATGAAAAGAAGAATTTGGTGCCTTTGAAAGGTCTTGACTGGCAGTCCTGGAGGCTGCAAGACCTTTGCCAATCTGTAAAGCAAGTTGCCTTTCCCAGGAGAGGTAGCATGAGCTGAGACAGTGTCCTTCTTCCATCTCAAATGTGAAATGACAGTTCATCTCTCTAGCAGCGCCAGCAGGATGGAGTGGTTTTACAAGGTGTGCATTAGTGATGTAGTGAGAGGGAGCCAGGGCGAGAACTTGTCACCCCCACCCCACCCAAACAAAAGACTGGAGACACCTCAGGCTTGCTGCAGGCAGCTTTTCTCACCGTGCAAGTGATTGATATCCCTACCTCATTCCTTGATGCCCATCTCCTGCCCTGTACCTGCCCCTCCTTTTCAGATTCACACCCACACTGCTGATGCACATCCTTCCACTGGACACCAGCTAAAGCCATGGCCCCTGGCCACTTTAAATAGCCATTGGGAGAGCTTAACCAGAGACTCCGAGGTGGTTAACAGAAGTTCAAAAGACTTACTAATAAGTTCCCTAGCCATTCAGATAGAGTACATTTACTTTCTAAATAAAAAGGGAAGGAGACATCAATCCTTTTATTTTCCTGTGCTGTAGCCCTGGAATCTCAGACAAGCTAGGGGAGAGTGCTTTGTACTTGGTGATGACATTTTAAAACACTGAAGCAGCAAAGTTGTTTATTTTCTTAATGAGTTGAAACTAGAATTCTGTTTCTCTCTGCGTTCAGTTGTTTTACATCCCTGCAGTTCCACTGGCTTTACTGTATTTTTTTTTTATTTACAGCAAAATAACGGACACCATAATTTAGCCCCTTCTTTATTGCCAAACAGAGATTGTTCTTGCCTTTGTTCCTATTGTTCAGGTATATGGGAATACATGAGTACATTTTCCAGTAACGCTAGTTTGGATTTTGTAAAATTTCCACATGTTCTTGGGGTACAAAGAGACCAGCGGTGGCCAAAATGGAGTGCTTTATGCAATTCTCAGTCTAGAACTTATGTATTTATATATAAGAATCAATCTGACAAGAACTAACAAAATTATTTTTTTCAGTGTTTCATGGTTGAGGTTCCTGTGGTGATTAGAATGGCTACCAAAATATTTGACTTTTTCATATAGTATCAGAAGCTAAAATAATAAGCTCTAGGAGACACATGATTGCAAAAGAAGCGATTATGTTTACACCCTGCGTTTAAGTGGTGATACAATCTCCCTGCACTAGTAAGATCTCAGCATTAGAACTGAAATCCAGTTAACTGACTGTAAAATGTTACTATGTGGTAGAAAGGGCTTGGTTTTGCTGATCAGTTGGTCCAGTGAGTAAATATTGCAGGGGACTCTCCTTCCACAGTGAAGTGTATTTCAGGCTTGGGTTCTTATGTTAGAGCTGCTACTCATGCAAATCCTCATAAATCTCAGTAGTAGCTCCGTGCTTTCCAACTGATTCAGGTACAACTGCGATCCTCAAAAGGGAGGGCAGGAGATACTTGCAATATTGATCTTGGGCTAGAGCTTTTGTCGAGAAAAGACATCCTAACATTTGTCGCTGGGACTGCAAACAAGCCCTGAAGGGAACGACGCTCGGAGTACACATACTAATAACTCAGTATACAACCTATGCCTCTTCCAGTCACTACCAGTGACTTTTGGGGACCGCATTGGCTGGCCAATGCCTCCTGCAGAGAAGAGACTGCTTCTGTCTTGTGCTGCTTCCAGCTCCTCTCACCACAAGGCAACTTTTAAAAAAAAATTTTTTTTTTTTTTTAAATATGGAGAACCTGCGTGAATCAGGGTCAGGAGTGGCAGAGTACTTAATACTGCAGTGGATATGTCTGAGTCCTAGTTTGGTCTGCAGGGGTTTTGCTTAGGGGAAAATGTTCCTTTTCCCTCTTTGCTGTCATTCTAGAAACTCAGTGAAACAAAAATACTAAGTCCTCTTCCCACCACCACCCCCCACA